ACAGCTGTTGCGCAAGCTGGACACGCGAAAGAGGCCTCAAATGCACGACAGAAGAAGTAACGTTCTTGAGGGTACCGTATGTTGTGACACCGCTGCACGATGTACTCAGGGCCCCGCTTGGGGGCTCAAAGACAGCTGGTCTAGCGATGCCGGGTATCTCAATCCCTGCACCCACAAACGACGTTATCGGGATTTTACCCAACACGCGGCGTACGAGACAAGGGTTCACCGACCCTCGATATCCTTCTGGGTGAGCAGCCGTTTGGCCAGTGAAGGACCGAGGACGTGAGATACGCCTACTGCAGCCCCGCCATGGCAAACGCCAAAATGGCCCATCAGTAATTCGCCCTCCACTAGGTAACGTTAGGCCCGAATTTTGGAGAAGCGGGATATTGTGAATGCCCAGTCTGCCTAGCGCGATCTACAGCGTTCACCACGAGGAAGCTCATGCAGGGTTCCCACTCGCGCTCGCTAGGGCAGCTGAGAGGGTTATTTAACAGGTTACTCCCCAACTTTTCTGCTATCTTGCACGACGACCCTCAGCCTTGCCTGCTATCTATAAGACAACTCAACCGGCTATTGGTACATGGCTTTCGTAGTACAGTACTTTGCCCTGCTTCTCAAATCCATACACTGAAGCCCAGCCTTGAGGTTTTCGACATTCGAATACAATGGCCTCTTACGGCCAAGACTTTGGTGCTGGCGGACCCTACGAGGTAAAGAACACGGGCTATGTTGCTACCGACGAGGAAAAGAATCATTACGATGTCGGCCCCCGTCATCCCAGTATTGTCGGATCTGTGAAGGCAGTCACCGATCAGACGCACCGAACGCTCAAGAGCAGACACATCCAGCTTATCGGTATTGGAGGAACTATTGGTACTGCCTTGTACGTGCAGATTGGCCGAGGTTTGATGAACGGAGGACCTGGAAGTTTGTTCATTGCATTCTCGTTATGGTATGCAATATTTCCCTCGCCATCCACGGCGATGAGCTAACGCTAACATTTCAAGGTGTACTGTCATTCTGGCTGTGACGCTCAGTGAGACTCTCCATCCCTTATTTTCCAAAGCGACAACTTCTTCCCATCGCGACAATGCCCATGCGCTTTATCCGATACCCCAAAGCACCTTTCTCCATCGCTCGCGCAAAAAATGCCGAGCACCAGCTAATGCAATTACCCAGGTATCGCTGAGATGGTCACATTCCTCCCTATATCCTCGCCGTTTATCCGATTTGCCGGAAGGTTTGTTGATGATGCTTTCGGTTTCGCGGCTGGCTGGAACTTCTTCGTGTTCGAAGCTGCTCTTGTGCCCTTTGAGATTGTGGCTTGCAATGTCATCATCGGCTTTTGGAGTGATGTCGTGCCCACAGGCGCCATCATCGCGATCGTTCTCGTGCTCTATGCGTACGTTAATACCCCACATCCTGGTGCTGGCAACTCATGCGTTTGGTACTTTGGCGTCTACGTTGGAGCTGCCATGCAGCTGTGTGCTTAACCTTCGCCTTGGATTCTTCAAATGGATATATCCAGATCAAGTGCTAACCTCAGCGCAGCGTAATCAACATGATGGCCGTCAAATGGTACGGCGAAACCGAGTTCTGGGCCGCCATCGGCAAAGTCCTCCTCATCATCGGCCTGCTCATCTTCACCTTCATCTCCATGTTGGGCGGCAACCCGGAGAAAGATCGGTACGGTTTCCGCTACTGGAAGAACCCTGGTAGTTTCACAGAACTCTATGAACCAGGTCAGCTCGGTCGCTTCCTGGGCTTCCTACAGTGCCTGATCCAGGCTTCCTTTACGATTGCCGGACCAGATTACGTTTCCATGGCAGCAGGAGAGACTGAGAACCCGCGCAAAGTCATGCCCCGTGCCTACAACGCCGTTTTCTACCGTCTGACCACATTCTTCGTGCTCGGCTCGCTGGCTGTCGGTATCAACGTGCCCTACAACGATCCAGAGCTGATCGCCGCTTTCCGAGACGGCAAGCCAGGTGCAGCAGCTTCACCCTACGTCATCGCCATGAACCGACTCCGTATCGAAGGTCTGCCTCACGTTGTCAACGCTGGTGTCCTCGCCTCCGCTTTCTCCGCCGGAAACTCCTACGTCTACTGCGCGTCCCGTTCGCTCTTCGGTCTCGCTCTAGAAGGAAAAGCGCCCAAGTTCCTCACCAAGTGCACGAAGCAAGGTGTACCTTTCTACTGCGTCTTCTTCGTCCTCTTGATTGCCCTGCTGTCCTTCCTCCAGCTCAGCGAGAACTCCGCTGTCGTGCTGAACTGGTTCGTTAGCTTGGTGACTGCATCGCAGTTGATCAACTTCAGCGTCATGTGCTTCACCTTTTTGAAGTTTCACAAGGCGTGCCAGGCACAGGGTCTCGATCGAGACACGCTGCCATACAAGGGTATGGCCCAGCCCTACGCCGCATGGTACGGCCTTGTATGCACCTTCATCATGACGTTTGTCGGTGGCTACACTGTGTTCCTGAACGGCAAGTGGGCTGTCGCTGATTTTCTGTTCTCATACCTGATGTAAGTCTCTACCCCATCACCCCCTTCTGTTCCTACCATGATACAATACTGACATGAAATACAGGGTCTTTGCCTTCCCCGTTCTCTTCATTTTCTGGAAAGTTCTCAAGAGGACGAAGTGGGTTTCACCGTCTGAGGCGGATCTTGTGACTGATCTCGCGGAGATCGAGGAGTACCATCGTACTTTTGTGGAGAAGCCTGAGACTAATGCTTTCAACCGTGTTTTGGACAAGATGTTTGGATAGACTCTTGTTGCAACTGTTGTCATGGCGCCCTTTGGGGTACTTCAAGCTAGTGCTTCTTGCTTTGCTTTGGGGATTGCGTACTGCTCTTGGAAAGGGATGCCTTACGCCCATGTGGGTGGTCTATTCGAGAAATCATGACAATACCACGAGAATCCATGATATTAACGAACACGAACGATCTTTGAAGAAACGATTTCCTTGAACTGTAGCTCAATATGTTCCATTCTCAACAACACAATGCAATTCATAACTAGGGTATCATCATATACTCCCCAATAACTCCTAAGAAAGACCATCTAGCCAAAACCATATGAATCGTAGGTGAGCGCCAACAGTTCAAAACAAGAATGTCGGCACATCATCTAAATCCGCAGCTTTCCGTTTCCGCTCCTTCTCGTTCCTCTCCCTTTCAGCCTTGCGCTTGGCAATGCGCTCCGAAGTCTCCTTACTGACACCGCTGTTACCACCACTGCCGCCCGGATCTCTGACTGACGCATTTTCATTGAACGAAGCATTTGATCGTCCAAGCTTAGCATTGCCGCGATCGTCCACGGAATCGAAGGATTGGGAATACTTGCTGACACTTGATGCGCGCGTTGTATGCGACGTCTCAACAGGCTGCTGCGGCGAAGACCCCGACAATGCCTTACTTTTCTTCGTCGGTACCAAATCGTCAAGCATGTCAAAGGGTGTTGCGCGACTTATGCGTGAGCGAGATTTTGCTGCAGGTGTAGGTGGCGCAGGCTTAGCGAAGACGGGGTTCGGATTGGGTGCAGGAGACGAGGCAGACTTCTGCCCTTTTGCTGCACTGCTGTTGCGGACTGGGGTGGGTGTGGTGGTGGATCTGGAAACGGGCTTTGCTGAGGGGCGCGGTGCGTCTAGATCGTCGCTGTCGTAGTCGCTATCTTGTGTTGCGTATTTGCTAGTGGTCGCAACGTGTCTTGAGGCCATGAACGAAGACGCAAGATGAGACCGATTTGACAACACGGCCCGCCCTTCTTGGTCATCTTCGTCTTCCTGCGACGCAAACACATCGCGAATCGCTTCCTTCTGCTTCAGCTCTTGGACCCTAGCCTTCTCCTTCATCTCGCCACTAGTTGACCTCTTCGCATTTGCAACGACGGGTCTGGTAACTTCAGCAGCTTCTTTCTTCTTCTCTTCGATCATCGCCTTGAGCTTCTCGTATTCGGCGATGTGCAAGTGTCGCGAGAAGAGCTTTGCTGTTTCCAGAAACTCGTCTTCCACCATCATCCACTCGTCGTCGCGCAGATCGAACTTCGACAGACATTTGTGCATTTTCTCAACGTGCGGCGCCTCAAGCTCATCAATGGGAGGTGGTGATGATGAACCTCCACGTTTCTTTCCCAAGGCTTCTTTGGTCCTTGTCTTAGTTCGCGGCCTTGTCGGTGTTGTTGGAAGGCCGGGAAGGTCATCGTCGGAGCCATTTGATCTCGTTCTGCTCCTGCTGCTGTCTGCCAGCACAGTGCCATCGAAGAAGTCGTCATCTATGTCAGCCGTAGCGCGCGCTTTCGTAGCTTTCCGCGATGATGCTGGCTTGGCTTGGGTTCGACTTCCGCCACTCTTGCTTGCCCAAGGTAGCTGACGCGGCATGATGCCCAAGGTTTTGTAGATCAGCCTTGTATTCGCAGGAGTTGAGAGTGTAGAGGACAGTTTGCACGCGACATAATGCCCATAATCTGCATAGAAGCAGCTCAGAAGGTCACGTAGCTACAAACAACTCCAAAAGGGTCGAAAGCGCGTGCACGTAGGTGAAATGTTCGTGGTCGCCTGGGCACGTGCTATGACGCGCTAGACCCTGCCGGTTCCGTCCACGGGTCGGACCCACTTTCCTGGAATTGCGCCCTTCCGTTCCGATCTAATCTGTGACTTTGAACGTGCTCTCCGCCTTCAATTGAAAGTGACACGTTTCGCTTCCATGAGATTCCGTGACGCTCGATGCTTGCCTAGACATCACGTACCTAGGCACTGATGGGGTCCTTGCTGGTACAGCTGTTGGCATCGAGTTCGTCTCGCTCGACGCTGCAGCTTACACCGAACAACACACTACCATAAACGTCTTAACAACTTAACAACAAACCCACGCGCGCGTCTTTTCGTCTAAGGGCCATCGGATGCTCTAAATCGTTCATTGACTCGACTACCCTCCTTTAAGAACAGCTGGCCTGGCTTTGTGTTGACTCACAACGACCCCTCTTTCCATTCGCAATGTCCATGTTCCGCAGGCCAGGAGATTCCTCGTCAAGTTCGGGAACCTCTGATGATGAGAGCGAATACGAGGAAGCAAGCGAATCGCAACAGGATAGCGTCCTGTCACGAATCGAAACTCTGAGTTCCGCTACTTCTGGACATCCGTCTCTTCAGCCCCAGCGGCCTCATCTAGACGTTCGGCAAAACTCAGCACAAAACGTTCGAGATTTGTTGTTCCATTCAATGCTTGAAAAGCAGACTATCCAGCAAGCTGCGGAGCAACTAGGAAAGGATCCATCTGATCCGGAAGTACAACGAGTAGGAAGAGACGCCTATAAGGAGCTCGCTCGTCAGATCTCCAACAATGTAGACGACGCCTACGCGAGCGATGAGATGCAGGGTCACCGAGCAACTGCAAATCAGGGAATCCATCGATTGATCCAGGGCAACCTTAGCAAACTTGCGCCAATCCCCGAAGGAACTTCACAGGCGCTCGTCTCGCGACCAGGAACTGCGATCCATCCACCCTTACCTCAACAACCATCTCTTGGCTTCGATGTTATGTCTGGTATATCAGCTCCCGTACAGCTGCAGCTACGTGGATATCCTCATCTGCAAACGGACCGCTACATCCGGGAGTTTTCGGAGCTCGAAATTGTAGGGAAGGGCGGATACGGCAAGGTCTTCAAAGCCAAACACAAACTAGATGGCTCATTGTATGCTGTAAAAAGGATACCGGTGAGCCCGTCCAGGGTTGCAAGAATACAAGAGCATGGGCCCGAAGAACTGGAAAGCATGCTTGAGGAAGTTCGTTCGCTCGCTCGGTTCGATCATAACAACATAGTTCGGTATCACAACGCTTGGCTGGAGTTCACCACAATACCGGCAGACCCTGTGACCGCGCCGGAAGTCACGATGCTACGCAACGACCGTCTTTTGGATGATAGACCCGCATTTCCGTCAGTTTCACCGGGCTCAGGAGATCTGCATTCTCAGCTAGATAGCCTGACAATGGACAATCCCTTCGCAAGTACCGAACACAGCAATAGCGCGGGAATCATATTTGAGTTTAGCGAATCTGAACAGCAAGTGAACGAGACCAGGAGCGAGAGCGTTCATACGTCATACAAGGAGACTTTGAAGCAGACAAGACGCACGAAACGTCGGGGTAGCCAAGCAAGCCAGACCACGATAGCTACAGTATCGTCGACAAAGTCCAGGATGAGCGCTGTGGAGGACGTTGACGAAGAAGAAGATGACGACGTTGAAAATATACCCAGATTACACATGCCGTATTCTCAGGAGTCGCATTCCGAGATGTCAGACAGCATGATATCGAACAGCGATGCGCCCCGCCACTTGATTCAAAACCAGACCCTTGGACCAGTCCTCACACTGAATGTGCAAATGAGCCTTTGCGAAACTAACCTTGCCGCTTTCCTCTCTTCCGATCAACATCCCACCGCACACGCAATCGAACAACATTGTTTCCACCCCTGCGTATCGCTGGAGTTACTAGACAACATCGTTTCCGGAGTCGAATACCTCCACGCACAAGGCGTAGTTCACCGCGACCTCAAACCAGCTAACGTCTTCATATCGCTCTCACGAGCGCGCCACGCCCCATACGGCTCTGTCAACGTTTCAAGCTGCACTACGTGCCCGAAGCGTGATCACCTACACATGACGCCGCGCATCGGAGACTTCGGGCTTGTCGCGGCGCTGAGCGACAGCTGCACTGTATCGGATACCTTCAAGCCCGTGGGTACGGAGTTTTACCGTCCCCACACAGGCAGTGGTATCAACGAGAAGCTCGATGTCTTCGCTCTGGGTGTCGTAGCGTTTGAGATGATTCAAAAATTCGACACTCGCATGGAGCGGATATCAGCGCTGACGGAGCTACGCCGCGGAGTCTTCCCTGATGGCTTCGCGCAAGGTCTGGGTGATGTGGGTGACGACGTGCAGCAACTGATCAGCGACATGGTGCAAGGAGAGGAAGGGAAGCGGCCAGGATGTGAAGATGTGCGGATTGAGATTCAGAAGCTGGTACGTGCTTTGAAGATGTGAGTCGTGGTCTCCATCACCGATCGGAGGTGTCGCATTGGGAGGCGCAGAATAAATGAATAGATACCCACGCATCTGTGGTGACTTGGACAAGCGGGGTATATTGCATCGTAGCTATTAGAATATGGAGTTCCCCTCCAAATGTCGTCCAATTCACGTTTGCGTAGTGATCATGATGTTGATAGTGCTGCACCTGTTGGTCCAGGTTGGGGAAAGGGCCCGAGACTCCCCACTTTTCGAGGCCACTCTTACCCCGCAGTCCGCTCGCTTCGGCTACCGAAAGCTCACAGCCTTCGCACAAGTTCGCAGGGCGACGGCGACGTGCAGCGCACACTATGCAGACCTATCTTTGGTTTGTAATACCTATATATTACATCTAATTCCAAAATTTGCCACCTGTAACGGGTCTCAGCCAGAAGACATTCCGTTTCCAAATCCGGCTTACTGTCAATACTTTAACGGGAGCCCAGTTCGAGTCCTGTGGTGTCCTTTAATCCACTCACTTGGGTAACCAGTGATGCTGGAGGGACCTAAGCAATGAATACAACTTGACGAGGGAAGCAATTCCGCAGTCTAGTATTCACCACGGGACGGCGGCGCTGGATTACTCCTATTAGGGTTGGAAGTCGGGTGACGGGTTGGGGTGTCCACTGGTATTTTGTTTTTGTCTTTTTGCCTGGCCTTCTTTTTTGCTCTTCGCCCACCACGCACATAGAGCGAACAACAGTAGCTAGCAGCGCCTGCTATCGCATCTTCTACTTTGCATCTCTCTTTTTGCATCTATTGCGTTGCACTTAAAGTAGCCTCTGCATGAGAGAATTGCTAGGAAGGATACGTGGTATTACATATGTACATTCGCCAAAGCAAGTCCCTTTGTCGCCGCCCAGCAGCAAGATGAACCAGCATCTCCACTGCCAGCACAACCCATCCCTCAATTCAACGTCCGCCTCCACTCATCCATAGCATCAAAAAGCGCCCCCAACCTTACTCCATCCTCGTCTTCCCCTACAGTCAACACCTTAACCACACTCCTCTTCCTCCCATGCCTCAACGTAAGTTCCCTTAACGGCGGCATAGAGACCAACATATCCCTCCAACTCCCATCTTTCCTCCCCAACACCTTCTCATTCTGAATCCAAACATTGAAATCCATAACCACAGGATGAAAAACAATCTCTTGGCTCGTCCGTATAAGGCCTAGACACCTCCTCATTAGACTGATCTCATTGCGCACGCCAACTGAGAACCGGGTGCCGGAGGGTTGCACCCCGTCTTCTATACTCTGCGGCGTAACATCGAGTTCCAAATCGAAGGTTGTGGGGACGAGATTGTAGATTTGCAGACTACGGGACGGCTTCAGATACAGCATCTCCGCTAGTAAAGGAGAGTCGCCGGGGATGAGTTGCCGCCATACATTGCATACGCGCTGGCAGCGGAGTAAGTCCCAGAAGTCGAGGTGGATGAATACGTGCTGGAGCACCTCAACAGGGAGGTCTGTAATGCGTTTTCTTTGGCCGCTGCCCGGGTGCGTGGAACCTGCAGTGAACATTTGGCGGACGCGGTCCGCGTAGTTTCCTATGCTGCTGCGCCGGCTGTCTCGTGAGAGTTCCGAGTCCCAAGACCGCATGGAGGCTGTGTCTGCGTCTGCGGGGAGGCCGCTGATGGAAGGGTTGCGGATGGAGTGGCTTGAGGCGCTTTGTTTGCGCCGGTTGGTGGTGTCTTTGAGCTTTTCGGAGAAGCGCGTGAAGGCCGAGAAGTGGGATTGGTGGTGAAGATCCATCATGGCTTCTGTTCTGCTTGATTGTCGAGATGTATGACCTTGCTTCCGTCTGGAACTTTTATGTTTTTGATCTGGACTCCTCTAGGGCATCCAGTGTCGCTGTTAGCGCTTTTGATACGGGCTGTGTTATTAGACTTCAGCCTTGCGACGACGGTGCGGGGTTATATCGTGTAACGTAATTGCGGTGCAACTCTATATCTCTTGTGTCTCCGCGACGGTTGAATGGTACGGTGTTCTCTTATATCGTGTCCGAAGCGGTGTGAATGGCAGCATCGATCGAGAGAACAGGAAACGACGACAACGTGGAAGCCGCAGCTGACATGTCATTTACACTAGCCGAATGTGGCTGACTGACGCGGGATGGGGGCCGACAAAAGCAAGCAGAACACATGGGAGCTGGGATGTTCGGCGATGTTTGCTTGACGGCTTGCGAGGCGTATCAAGGAAAGTGAGGTTGACGGTCTGTTGTTCTGATACGCTGCAAGGGTAATGTTCCACTATTAACGCCGATGTTGGCCATCAAACGCACTATGATCCCGTCTTTCCGTGTGGGACTATACATCATACATACGATACTGCGATAGTGGATCAAGATGGCATGTTGTGTTGTATTGATATATGTTTACATGGCTTCCCAAGCCAAGACTGTGTTGTTCTTGAACGGGCCGTCTGATGACGCAATGCCAGAGCATTGAAGTACACATGAAGCGGCGCATAGCACGCTTGTCGTGAGACGACTATTGTGCCAAATGCTCCAACACTCCTCCGGGATCCTCCTTGACGTACTCCTCGGCGCGGTAAGCCTATTTGGACGTGCACTCTCCAAAGTGCCCACTGAGTCCTTGATTGAAGGTCGCTGCATGTCATGTATGCGTCACGCTCTCTTCAGCCGACCTCGATTGATGCCAATGCGCCAATGACTTCCTCAGCAACCCCTCCATTTTCTACCACCATCTTTGTCACTTGTGAGATCAGTCCCCTCTTCATGCCGCCTCGAGGTGGTGTCCAAACGCCTGAAGTCGCCAGCAATTCCCTCTGGGTGAGCGCATCTGCACTGGAGGTGGGAGCAGTACCGCCTGTTGCTGAGTTCATCGAGTTGGGTACGCCCGGGGGCGTAAGGTGGGACGGGGGGTCGATGGTCCGGATGGAGACGATGCGCGCGCCCGTTGACGAGGTTGTTGAATTTGTGCATGCGATCGCGAGGACTGCATCTGCTACTGCGAGCTCCTCCTTGGCGGGATCAAAGATGATGTTGGGGCCCACTGCCATGGCTAGTATGATGACTGGGGGCTTGCCTAGCTGGGGAGCAGTCTTGTTGGTACCCGCCTGCTTGGGGTATAGCGGCACGGCGGCATCCCAGTCGTCGTCGAACAGGGGATCTTCGTCCTTTTCCGACTTTAGGGCTGGTAGGAGGGTAGTGAGGAGGGCGAGATGGGTGGTCATGGAAAGCAGCGCGAGCGGGTAGGAGAGCGGGGGTGAAAGAAGCAGGATCTAGGGCTGTTAGCAGTGTGTTTAGAAGAGGCGTATCGCGACTTCTTACATCGACGTAGAGCTTCCAGTGAAACCGTCTGTTGATGTACAGGCGGTCTTTGAGCTCTCCACTGGCGAGCAAGCTCTCGGTGAGCATGGAGGACAGGAACACAGGCAGAGCGTCGTCTTCGCGGAAGCCTGGCACCTCGACGCTCATCTCGACCCAGGCATTCTGGCCCTTGCCCTTGCTATCGTCCGTCTCTTCGCCCTCTCCCATGTCTACATCTTCGGGCTCGTCCAGTGTCGGGCGCTGCCGTGACCTCTCCACCTCGGCCTTGACTCCTACGAGCGCCTCGGTCCCGTCTTCCAGGGCGATGCGCGCACTTCCGTTTGCGCTGGGCAGTACGTCATACTCAGCGCGCATAGAGCGAAAGTCGCGGGGGCCCTTGGTGACATCGAGGCGGATGGGCGGCGTCTGTGAGAGGGTGGAGCGCAGGAACGACAGCTCAGCGGGCGAGAGGTTGACGAGGGCCTGCTGGGGCGCCATGGCAATTGGATGGTGGTGCTTGGGACGGGGCGACAGCGAGGTGTTTGCTGCTCGCGGATTTCTTGCGCATTTGTTTCGACGACGAACTAGCGGGCCCGGCGATTCGGCTGCAGCGTCACTTGCCTGCAGCCCCGGCGCGAGCTACTTCGCGCGACAACACCGTGCGCTGACCGCCGGTCCGCAAGAGCATTGTACGTCTGGGTTATTGGGTCCGGGCAGACATATACTGTCGCAGTATCGTGGCATCTCCTATATTCTACTCTTAATATATATTCCTAGGGCCATGCTACGGTAGACCAAGCCACCCGACCCTCGTCACACGTCCACGACCGGCCGCCAATGTCACCCCCGAGGTCCAAGCGGAACAGCGGCAATGCCATCACCACCATCGACAAGCTCGACTACCCGCCCAACTCGCCCCGTCGCCCGCTGCTCGCCCCCGACGACGACACCGAATCCCAGCGCCGCAGCAACGACACGAGTTACGCCGGCAGCTTCTTCGAGCAGGTCGCCGAGGGCATCTACGAGCAGGACCGCGTCAAGATGCAGCGCGCCGTGCTACGATGGCTGAGCTTCGTCTGGGCCATCGTCATCTGCCTCTGCGCTGGTAGCATCACCGCCTTCTCCCTCTACGGCCACTTGTTCCAGTCCAAGCTGCACTACACCCAGGTCCAGGTCAACATCGTCTCCATCGGCGCCGAGCTCGGCCTCTACCTGCTCGTCCCCATCTTCGGATACCTCTGCGACCGTCTGGGCCCTGGCGTGCCTGCCGGTATCGCTGGCCTTCTCTTCGGCTCGGGATATCTGCTGGCAGCCTTCGCCTTCAAGAGCGGCCCTCCGCCATCTGCAGGCGGTCATGGCTGGCCCTTCGGCGTCATGGTGCTGGCCTTCGCCTTCGTCGGCATGGGCACCAGCTGCATGTACCTGTCTGCAGTAACAACATGCGCCAAGAACTTTGGACGCGGAAACGCCAAGGGTGTGGCTCTGGCAGTGCCCATCGCAGCCTTTGGACTCAGCGGCATGTGGCAAAGTCAGGTTGGAAGCCGGCTGCTGTACGTGAGGAACCCGGATGGCACCAAAGGCGACGTCGACGTGTACCGCTTCTTCCTCTTCCTCGGCATACTCCTCCTCTGCGTGGGCGCCGTCGGCTTCTTCGCGCTGCGCATCATGGACGAAGAAGAGATGATCGACGAGGCAGTGGACGAG